TTTTTGCAAGAAGGATGTTCAAATGAGTGTACTTTAAATGTGAGACTTCGAATCTATGGAATTGCCTTGTAACAATCTCCAATAGAGCACTTTGTAATATCATTGGCAAAGTCTTGGTGGCTTTGGTGCTGTGACATTACGAAAGGATCGTTGCATAAAATGTTATAATCTAACATATTCTAATAGTGGCAAGAATCTTGTATTCTTACACTAAAGATAAGGATTATGAGTTGTGAAATGAGTATCATTAGAAATATGTTCAATTGATCTATTTCACAAAGTAAGTACCATAAGTAAACATAGTGTGTATGCTTGGAGAATGGGAGAACTATTGTTATAATTCAAGTAATAAGTTGATTACTCGAAATATTATACAATGAATAATGAGTAATCAATATGGTGGTTAAATAAAAGTGTCTTTTTTATACTCAAAAGTTTGGGGCCATATAGGATTAAGTATTATTCTTGTGTTTCACTTTGCATGTTTTGACTTCCCAAATAATAAGATTATTCAAACAATCCACAGCCGATAAATACTTTGGAAGTAGGTATTGAAGCTAGACAGTCATGAATCCGTCTGTAGATTGTCTAAAGTGTTTAGACATAGCACACCTTTGCTGTAGAGTTCATGAGTGCTCTTATAAGATTAGAGTATTGGATTAAACCCACGCTCACTTGGATCGCTTCATGTATTTTATCACAAGTGATTGGTGAGCCGATAATATCTTATATTCTTGAAACCGAGACGTGTGAGTTGTATTCTACAAGTCAGTTACACATTGATAATATGTAAACGCACCAATAACTTGGTGTTATAAAACATATTGTTGTGTGTGATTTGATGAGTAGGTACAAGTGAGCATTTAAGTCGAAGTTTATCTGTTCCTTTTACCCAAAGTGGGATAAAAGCGATATTCGTGGGCCCCTCAATGATTTAGTGATGACACCCTAAGTGCTTGGCCAAGCCGGGACTAAGTTGATGTGTTCAATTGTAGTATGTTGTCAGTCATCATAAATCGGAAATAAAAAAACAGCACATGAACAGAGAGTATGATTAAAATCCACGTCTCAGTTCATATGATATCTAGAATGGATGAATATATGTTCCCTTATCTAAAGGACGTGTTACTGATAAGATCAGAGTTGACAACGGCTTTTGAAAGCTACGATTGTTGATCAGGTTCTGAAGCTGTACTTGAAAATAATTATTAGACTTATCCAAGTGGCAGACTGTTGGATTAGGTGTCTAAGCTTATAACTATTTTGGTATGTACTTGACCCGATTATGAGCATGATCCTTTTGGGTTGCCTTCACCATAGCAACTGATAGGATGAATTAAGGAGAAAGATGATTAATTATGATTTATTAATATATTATACGAATAATATACTAAATGAGAAATCATATTATTTAATTAATATTAGTCAATAATTAATTAAGAATTAGTTTTGTGACTAAAAAAGATTAATTAAATAAAGGGGACTGATATTTTAATTATAAGATAGTTGCATATATGTGCTAATTGACTCCATAGAAGTTGGAGTGGACGAAATCAATGGTGAAACCCATAAGAATTCGTCCAAGGCCTTTAAGGAGCAATTCTATGGGCTGCTTAGAGCTTAACCAGTCAAATTAGGGTTTCCTTGTTTGATATCCGTAATAGCCTAACTATATAAGGAACCCCTAAGGCCCCAAAAACGTGGCTACGTGATCCCTAAGGGTTCTTGGACGTTTTGTCCCTTCTCCTACTTCTCTTTATTCATCTTGTTGCTCATGGTGTTTGTGATTCCATTAGAGGTGCAACATTTGAGGCACTAAGCTTTCAGAAGTCAAGATCAAGAGGAGCTGAGATTGTTGTTGCTACATAACAATCAATGTAAGATCTAAACCCTTTTTTATGATAATATTGATTATTGTATGCTAGATCTAAGGTTTATGAGCTTTGGATGATTATTGCATGTTCATTAGACAAACTAGATCAAAATCCTTAGGGTTTGTATGCACACCATATGATTGATGTTTTGCTCAAAACCCATAAGTTACTTCTTACACTTAACCCAAAAACTAAACAAGCTATAAAGCATTTTGTGCTACAGTAATGGACTTGCTCCCTATATAGTTGTATTTGTATGTGGCTCACTATATGCATAAATCAAGAAATTAAAGCCTTTTCTTCTAGTAATTTGAATTACCAAAAAGCTTCTGAACCAGTAGTATCAGTTGTCACATTTATATATTTCATATAAACATATAAAAACAACTTACAAGTTGTTAAAAGATTCAAAAAGAAAATGAATGAATTGTAGAATAAACTTTGACAAAAAAAAAATATCTTAGGCCAATAGATGACCATTCCTTTCAAATTCCTTTCAAACCAAATGCATAAAATTTCATGGAACATAATATTGCACGAGCAAATATGAAAATATGTAAATCCAAATAAAGTAGGAATATATGGATTTTGGATCCAATATTTTGATAAAAGGATTTAGTGTCCCAACATGAACAGTAACTAAACTAAAAAAACAAAAAATTTACTAATTCAATTAACTAATCTAAGAAAGAAAAAAAAAACAGCTTGATATATATATATATATATATATATATATATATATATATATATATATATATATATTATATATATATATATATATATATATATATATATATATATATATATATATATATATATATATATATATCAATTTGTTGTTGATGATTATATCATATGTTCATATGTGTACATATATACATATGTGCATAAAAGTAGGTGCATATATGATATATGCGTTATTATGAATGTTCTCAGTGATTTATTTTTATGTATTTATATGTATGTGCAGATTTGCAAAAAAATGTCGATGAATGAAAGATACAATAAGTGATACAGTTAAAAAAAGGTAAAGAAAACTAGAATTTGATCTAATGCTCCTCATTTTGTTCTCGGCTTTTTAGAAAATATAGGTTTAATTTTTTTGGAAATGACAAACGAATTAAACAGAAGTCGACTCGCAATATTTCAACAAGCACCCTCTGTTCGAGCTCCTTTATAGAGCAAGCTCAGCCTTATAGAGATTTCCAAGTAAATATTCTAACATGTAGTACTACAAGAGATAATTTAAGGGAATCGAACTTTCAACCTTACGCCTCATATGTGTATAAAACCCGATGCATCAACCCCGCTAGGCTGCATATCAATTGCATGGGTTTGCTTATTAAAATATTATTATTATTATGTAATTATAAAAAAGAAAAGTCTATATTTCAGAATAAAAACGAAATTTGATTTTATATCTATTTACTTCAAAATTTTGAAGACACGCCACGCCAATAAAACAAAACTAATGAAAAGAATGTTCTATTAAAAGTCAACGTTATTAATCTTTATAAGTATTAATAAATAAATTATAGATGAAAAAATATTTTGTAAAGAAACAAAAAGTAAAAATATTATAATAACCAAATTTAAAAATTGTATATAACATGGTGGTGGAACATAACCAAGATTTTGTTTGTGTCAACAGGAGCTTTTAGGTGACACGTCTTTCCAACAGCGGTGGAGCTTCTAGCTGATGCGACGGCACCATACACGGTCGGATCCTCGGACGGACCCTCATCCTTTTCCTTCGGTTATCAGAGGATTTAAAATTCAGTATCTTTTTTTTTTTTTTTTTTTTTTTTTTTTTCACTATGAAAGATATAGTCATATAGACATATCGGTATTAAGTAGTGGATCCATAAAAAATATTAAAAATAGCATATAAAATTTTATGGAAAGTTCGTTGGAAAATTTACACTACACTATAATATTTACATTTTGGTCAAATTTTTGAGAAGCAGCGGGCCCGTGGTCGTCCCTGGACTACACTACTCGTGCTGAATCTTCGCTAACTTATTTATTTATTTATTTATTTACGAAAACATCAAACCAATCAAAAAAATCCAGATTTCCACATTTTAGAACAATCCCATTGAAGAAAATCGAATGTTGTAAATAAATGTAGAGTGTAATTTCACGTTTTAGAATGAAGAACGATCAGGAATTGTAAAGGACTGTTTCAAATTTCGAACTACCCCGTCAATAAAAATCAAGAATTAAAGAGCAATTAGATAAGGAAAAATCAAGAGTAGAATGCATAACATAATCTTAAAATCTCTCAAAACGTTCATCAACTTCAATTATATTAGAGATTCGCTTAACCAAAAAATAGATCTAATTTAAATTTGATCGAAAAGAATTAAAATGCTAAGTATGAGTCACTATCTCCACATCAATTTTTGATGTATCACTGCCATGTCATTTTTTATACATTTTTTTTAATTACAAAATAAGGAAAATACCACAAATAGACAAAAAAATGGGGATCAATTTCTAAATTTAGTCATAAAACTAGAATTTTCAAGCTATAGACATATATTTCGCGGATCTCTGCGGAATAATGTCATCTCTGCGGACCACCCGAAAGTCTAATTTTCTAACGTTTAAAAGATTGTTCCGCGTAGGGCCTCTGCAGATATAATAACAACTCCGCGGAGTGAGTTGTTTCGAGGTTATAAATTCTTTCGCGAAGATGATGACGAGGAGCTCCGCGGAGAGAGTCATGTCTCCACGGAATGAGTGGTTGGAACGAATTTTAAACGGTTTATTTTATACAAAGTGTTCTTATTCATTTTTTAGCTCCATTTTGTCGATAGATCATTTCCTTTTCATTTGATTTTCAAAAATATGAGTTTTGTTATTTTATGTACTGGGGTTTTTTGACAGATAAGTAATGAGATTAACACCTACGTTAGACCAAAGTTTAACAACTTAGGTATACTGCATCTGCCATATTTTGATTGTCGAATATTGCTTGATTTGGTCAAAAGTAAGGCTAATGTGTTCAATAGTAATATATCATTGTCATTTCTACACCCAGTTCATGGGTATGTTATAAATATTTTAGCCGAATCAGATGTTAATCAACTCAGAAATGTAATTTCTGAAACGAAGGAGATTATGCATTTGTATTTAGAGGTGTTTCAGGGATTTGTCGAACAGATAGAAGCGGTTCGGAAAGTTGTACCATACAATGTTGAAAACGTTGTATATGATAATGTTGAAGAGTGCCCAGAAGAAGAAATTGTGCCAGTGAATACGGTTGAAGAAAAAATTTTATATGAGTTTGGAAGATTGACTGACAAAACTTTGTCAGACGGTGAAGAGTCAAATGAAGGATGGTCAGAAGATGAGTTCACACACATGAATAAAGCTTCAAACATATTTTACGGTATGCCTCCCATACCTGATTGTCCTGATCCTATTGTTGAACCCGGACCATTTCACAGTTTAGGTCCAAATGATGATATGTTTGTTCGTCAAACATATGATAACAAATAACAACTAATATTTGCTTTGAGTCTTAAAGCAACCAGAGAAAAGTTTCAGTTTAAGACCAAACATTCTAACAAAAATCGTTATGAGGTATATTGTGAAATTGAGAACTGTAGTTGGTGTTTATATGCAAAACACCTTGATCCCACTGATGAATTTGAAATCAGGACTTTCAACAACGTGCACACATGTTCGTCATTACATATACACCCTAATCATAAGCATGCTAATAAAAAAGTGATGGGTACTATATTGCATGAGATTATGGGAAAAATTCATTCCAATGTTTGGAGGCGTAATGAAATATCAAGGGATTTGAATGCTTTGCTGGAAATCAATGTAGATTACAAACAAGCTTGGCGTGCAAAACAATATGTTATGGAACTGTTGTTGGGATCCTCTGAAGAATGTTTTTCCAAACTTTCTATTTATTTTCACAATTTGAAGAGGCATAATCCCGGTACAGTGACCTATATTCAAATAGATTCTGAAGATTGTTTCGAGTGTTGTTTTTATGCCATTGGGAGCACGGTAAATACAAAAAACTTGTTATTTAATATATAAATTTTTTTAAATAAATTATTGTCACACCCCCGAACTAGACGGCGGAAACGCCCGAGGGCTCGCGTGACTTAAAATGAATATCATCACAATGAATATACATGAATCATAACATAAACATCACCATGCATCAATATATAACAACTGGAATTATTCACATCAAGTACATTGTTTTAACATTTTAAATCCATACATACATTGTTTGATAGATTTCAAAAGCCAAAACACCCTAACACACTTGGTACTTATTCCTCGGCTTACCTGTTACTTGAGAATACAAGTTATTTTGAAAAACGGTCAACATATGAAATGCTGGTGAGTTCATAAGTGTGTTGTGTTAAAATGATTTGTGTAGTTTGTAAAACCCAGAAAAGTTGATATTTTCTGAAAAGACCATTGTTTATAAAAAAAAAAAAAGTGTGAAGATCCGTACAATATGCATGATGATTTCAAAATATGTACAATTGAATAACTTAGTATTAAACGTACAAGTGAAAATGTTGAACTTCCCCGGAAAACCCGATGTTTTCCAAATACATAAAATTCAATGATTTCTCAAATTATTATACCGCCGCAATGAATGATTCTATTTACTCTTCCTTGATTACTCGGGTGGTGTTGGATTAACGGTTGCAGGGTTCGATTTAACGGTTGTCGTTTTTGTATCGATTCGAGACCGATCGATTTGTTTATAACGATATTTGGAGTTAAACGTGTATTCATCTTTCAATTTTTCGTAAGTCGTGGTTTTGTATTTGACTTAATGAAATAATTTGCCTAAAACAGTGGTTTGACCTTTTCAACACCTTCCTTTTTATAAAAATGATAGTTTTAGTCCTTTATATAAAAGAAAGGACATTTTTAGCCCTTAAAATATTTTCTCGACACTTTTGCATCATAGATTTGTTGAAATGATAGTTTTAACTCAAAACTTATTTTGTTAATAGTTTCACCCCTTTCAGAATAGTATTTTTCGATTTGAAACCCAACTTTTCGCAATTTTTACAATTTTGGCCCAAAATCCAAGAACTTTACATTTTTTATCCTTTTTGGAAATGAAAAGCATTTTTGATCCTTGAAATAGTTTTGTTACACTTTTTATCCCCTTATTTGAAGAAAGTTTCATTTCAGCCCCTTTAATTGTCGTTTTTCGCAATTTTTGGGCCTATTGGGCCGAAAAGCCCAAAATTAGCCCATTAAGCTAAAAGTTTACATTTCAAGTCCTTTGAAAATTTTAATATTCAGAAAAACAATTATTGAAATTGTTTTGACTCTTTTGACCCTTAAGAAACCGTGATTTGGCACTTTTAACCCAAATTTTTGTATATTTCACAATTTAAGCCCAAAAACGGGTTTTATGTTGAAGTATATTTAACAAAATCTTATAAGTTATTATTCTTGACTTGTTTGGTGTAAAATAACATAGATCATGTTTGTTTACTTTCTCATGTCATAGATCTCAAGTTAACACCCCTTTTTAGTTACATGTTCATCATAAAAACACATAAAATCATACATACATGCATAAAATCACACATAGCATACACATACACATAGATCTACACATTTTCTTGTATTCTACCCCATAAAACATATGAAAACCGAAAAGAGAGGTGTATGAAGCTCACCTTGAGTTGTGGTTTCGGTTTTGAAGAGAGAAATGAAGAAGTTTGGTGCAAATCTTGGCCTAGTAAGCTTTCCTTGGAGGATCTCGAACTTAGGTGTTTCTAAGATGGTGATTATGAGTTTGGATAGATTAGGAAGATATTTTGATAAAACAAAGAATCTAGATCATAGATCTAAACATACACTTACCTTGAATGATGATTTTTTTGTGGAAGAAACTCCTTATCAAGCTGTAAATCTCGATTTTTTTTTGATGAAGAATGAAGAGAGTTTCTTTGAGAGAGTTTGAGTGAAATGTGTGTGTGTGTTTGTGTTGTTTCGGCCGAGAGAAAAAGAGAGGAGAAGAGAGAGTAGATGAAGTGATGGTTGCATGGAGATATGAGTTATATGCACGGAGGACCTATGGGTAAATGTGAGGTGGCAAATGGAAGTCAACCCTCTTCCATTTTGGGTTGTTGGGCCGAGAAGAGGAGAGGGGAAAAGAAGAAAATTGGGCTTTTTGCTCTTAGGCACATCTTATGATTCACTTAGATGATTTTTGGCCACAAATAAATCAAAGTATATTTTTATGACCCATTAGGGTTAATTTAAATTTGTTGTGATCCAATAAGTCCCATTAAAGTTAACCTAGTTTATTTTAGGCTTGTAAAGCCCAAATTATTAAGTTTCATGTATATGGGTCCAATTAGGGCCCATTTGAGAGTTCTATGTTCAAGATAGTCAAATTAGAAACTTATTGGTCCATTAGGCCCAATAAGGAAATCCTAGTCCAAAATGGACTTAAACCAGGATTTTTAGGACTTCCAAACTTTGGTTGACTATTTGATGTGCTCTTATAAAGTGTTTGATGGAAGTTTGTTGTTATTGAATAAGCATCATACATGCTTTCACATTGTTGGTTCACATTTGTTATCGTTGTTTAATGTTTACAAGGCACCAAATTCCTATTTGTGACAATTATAGAGTGTTTATGTGTTCCATTTTCATATATTGCAGATACGAGCGTTCAAACGTTTTTGTCGTAAAGTTATAATTATGGATGGTGCACATTTGAAGGGTGATTTTAAGGGAACCATATTGCATGCAATAGCTATGGATGGGAACAACCAGATACTGCCCCTTGCGCACGGAATATGCAAAAAAGATAGTGGTCTTACTTGGACATGGTTTCTTGAAAAGTTGTACGAATGTGTTGGTGATTGTCAAGAATTGACTTTTGTAACTGATAGGGCCGATGCAATTCGGGTTGGTATTGAAAATGTTTTCCTATATGCTCATCATGGCTTGTGTGCTTTTTATCTACTAGGAAACATAGTACACAGGTTTGGGAATAATGATAAAACAAAGGTGTTGTTTTGGAGGCTTGTGAAAGCTTACAAAAGAAATGTTTTTGAAGAACTGTGGTATAAATTTAGTTCTACTAGGTCGCAAGTAGCAGCGTATCTAAGTGAAATTCCCCGGGCTAAATGGACTAGATCATATTCGTTGTCGAAATGGTATGATTACATGACCTAAAACAGTGCAGAGTCCATGAATGATTTATCTGTAGATGCAAGGAAGATGCCTATAACACCCCTTCTTGAGTTCTTCCGTCGTCTTTCACAGGAATGGTGTAACAAGCGTCACATCAAAGGAGATATGAATTTAATTTGGACTTTAATTAGGTCGAATAATAAGTTAATTATATATGTCTTCTTTACAGGGAAACGTTCAACAGTGCTAACTGAGTGGGCTGAAAAAGTAGTTAGTAAAAATGAAGAGTGTACGACAGGATGGTCCGTTTCTGGTGTTTCAGATGCAATATATCAAGTTCATGATTTCAAACATGGTGGCATAGTTGATCTGATGCAAGAGACTTGTACATGAAAATATTGGGAAGGAACTGGGTTGCCTTGTAGTCATGTCATAATGGTCTTGAAGCACTTGAAAAAAACTAATTTCGGACATTTGACTATAGATGCTTACAAAATGGAAACGTACCGAAGTACGTATGAGGAGCCGGTTTACCCCCTTCCAGAATCGTTTGATTGGGAGATTCCTGCTGAGATGAAGGTTGTTAAACCCTTGATAATGGATACACGTCAAGCTGGTAGACCGAGAAACATAAATTGTATCCCGTCACAAGGTGAGGAACCTATAGTAAAAAGGTGTAGTAGATGTGATAGTACAACACATAATGCAGCGACTTGTCCGACATTGGTCCCAAAGAAACAAAAAAGACTACAAAAAGTAGTGCAACATCTGGTAGTAACACAAAAGGGAAAGGGAAAGGGACAGAAGGGACTCAGGAGATGCTAGAGACGCACAGAACACAAGAGATGCGTTGGACGAGTTGGACGCAGAGAGAAGACTATTGTTCAACGTTTGATTTGAATGATTGATGTTGTATTTATAGTTAATTATGTTTTGTTTTAGAGGACATTAATTTGTGTACTTCGAAATGGTGTGTTTATTTTAAAGATGATGGATAATATTATGATTATATTAATGCATAATCACTAGTAGAATAATAACTAATACTCGAAGATAATCATTCAACAAACCAGTAACATATAGTAAACGTACAACAACAGTAATTAACTTAAGGGAATTGCAAAGGATACTTTTCTTTCTCCATTGTTATGTAGTCGTCCCTAATTCTTATTTTATCTTCCATACGCTCCTTTTGGCTACCAAGTTCTACCATATCTGCATCATTGTCAGCATGCCATTTTTCAGATAGTTTGATATTCTTCTTAGGTTTTTTATCCATTCCTCATGATCTTTTATTTTTTTTTACTAATCATCAATCTTTCCTCAACCTCTTAGCACTCTGCCGCAATGAGGTCATGATGTTCAGTGAGAGCTCGAGATGAGTCTTTATCTTTTTTTTTTTGTTCTTCAACCCATTGTAGTTGTTGCAAAGTATCCTCCGACATGTGCGACTCTCTTAAATTTGGTGATGGGGCAAGAAAAGGGTCGATTGGATCACAATAGAAACAATCAACTTCGTTGCACGAGAAAATATACAAAGTTGAAGATGAACTCATTTTAAATTTAAAAAAATTATAACTCTATACCAAAAATCCAACGACCATCCATGACTATATATAGTCCCTTCCACTACGGTAAGTGTTATTGTCAGTCCACAGAGCTTTTTCTCAGTTCGCAATAATGTTTTTCAGTCTGCAGAGCTGTTTATCTAGTCGTTGTCATCCATACATTACAATTATGGGAATACAATTATTTATTTAAAGGTAAACATTTTTTTTATTAAAAAGTAAAGAACACCAACAGACCATTACAACTACGGTTAACATAGAACTGAATACAAACTAATATTCATTGTGACCCACACAATACAGTTCAATTGAATTGTCATGGAGGTAAGACCAAAACACTTTCAACTGGTATTTCCCAATGACTAAGGGTTGGAATAGGATTGACCATCTCAGTTTGATAAGCATTTCAATACACTGCTGTACTTAACTTTAAATTTACCATTTGGTGGATTTCTGTAATTCCCAATCTTTGTAGTGAAGCTATAGCATTCTTACAAGGTATACCGCATTTTTTCCATTTACCACAACTACAAATACCACGGTCTAATTAGACATATTCGGTTGTTGAATACTTAGTCACTTCATATTTGTCCCCAACAATATGTGTAATCCTACAACCATCCAAGTGAATAAATCTTTTATGAATCACCTTAAGTGCATAAGGGATTAGAAGACCATGAAAATCCCCTGTGAAATGAACTGAATCAAAAAACAAAAATTATGATGTCATAATGTATAATAACATATCAATTCACCAATTGAGTGATGTCATAACTTATAATTACCTCCAAACACAGCACGTTGAAGATACACTGCTTGTATCGAGTCATGGACCATTTCAATGATTGTTGTTATTGGAAACTCATGTGTGTTTGTTCTAAACCAATTGACAACAATGGGAATGTCAATGAATTTAACATTGAAACGTACTCTTGGAAAAAAGCCTGTACCCATTTTGCAATGGGAATATTGTCAAGCCAATGAAGATCATTCCAATTAACCTCATTTTTTATGTTGTTCAAACATGCATAAAAATCAGATAAATTATACGCTTTACAAGTCTTCCAAAACAACTGCTCTACGACTGTATTACTTCAGATGGAAGCGTGTATTTTCTCGGCTATATTTTTACAACAATAGCCATGATATGAATCAGGGTAGACTCTTTGAACTGAAAAGTCTATAGAATTAGACATATGACTTATGAAACCAACTTCTGTATTGTCACCTAAACATTCTTTAAGCCTACTCATGAACCATAACCATGAATCGTCACGGTTTATGGTTTCCAAAGCAAACACTGTGGAAGGGGTTCATGATTTCCATCTAAAGCAACCGCGATGTACATGGATCTTACATACGCCCCAATTAGAGGTACTTGACCAATGAATATGATTGGTATCATAGACGTGAGAAACATATGAATTTGTAAGTTAACATAAGAATATTAGGCATATAACAACTTGAAATAACTAAATATTTATTTACTATAAGGGATTACATACCACGCATCCCAATGCCACGAAACAAATTTGGAAACGATTGTACTGATCATTCGTAATGTACGTGAAGGTGTTAGGATTGGTTCTTTGAAGATTATGGAAAAAAGTCGGTAGGTTGGAGAAACTTTTTCTTAATACCTGATTGACTGAAATCATTTTCACAACTTTCGACACCTTGTAAATTTTCTTCATGGTTGTCCAATTTATAAGGAATTAGTATACATTATTCTGCAGAACTTACTTGTCAGTCTGCGTAAATGACTTGTCAGTACGCGTAACTTATTTGTCAGTCCGCGTAACTTGTTTGTCAGATTATGTTATTTGAATGTATGGTTTCGTAGCATTTGTTGGTGAATTATTTTTTAAAAAATAAAGGATAAATAACATATTACATATACATAAAGCAACACAAAACGCAATACCAGTTAAAAAAACATGACATTTTTCAAAAGATTTCAAGGGGCTTCATACTCGAAACTCTATCCGTTGCTAATGGATTTGTATTCTTCTTTAGCCGCCTCCAAGATGTCTTCCTCAGTATCATTCACATGATTGTCTTCAATCTTATTATAAAGATCGTTGATTAACACAACTTATGTTTTCAATTCATACCATCTTGCAGCTATATCAAGCGTGTTGCGATGGTTTTGTATGGTGGTTTCAGCATCAGTGTTGAAGGTATTTGTTAATAGGACCCAAAAGATTATATCCTACAAACTGGTGTTTTCTTTGACATTAATATATGCACGAGTTAGAAGCAAATACTCGTTAGCGGTCCATCGGTTTGAACCCATTGTAAAACATGCAAAGTACATGAACTAAAATACCTTAGATGAAGTGATACATTATTGTTTGTCGTTTTATATAGACATGATAGTCCGCAAATATCCAACAATCATCCATGACAAATATATAGACCCTTCAACTCCTTAGAGAGCTGTTCGTCAGTTTGTGTTACTGACTTGTCAGTCCGCAAAGCGAATGGTCAGTCCGCGTTACTGACTTGTCGGTCCACAAAGCGAATGGTCAGTCCTCGTTACTGACTTGTCAGTCCGTGTTACCTATCTTTTTATATAAATCACGTATCGATACGTCCGAATTAGAGATAGGGGATCATTTCACAAAATGGCATCCAATGTACCAACGTCTTCAAATGCATCTTTGTCTAATGTGTCTGCTCCAACAAATGGTACATCTCCATGGACGACAACAGAGGTGTTGGTCCTAACACGATGTTGGATTACCGTTTACGAAGGCCTGCCGGTAATGGCTCCCCTTAATTGCCTTCTTGGTGATGAATGGTCCCGCTTAGTAGCTTTGTTTAACTATAAGGTGGGACAAGGATAAAAACGACTAAAACCCGATATTGTTAGTAAATGGATGGATATAAAAACTAAAGTCACATGGTACAATCGATGCTACAATTATGAGAAAATGTGATGCTCTGATGCTGATGATGAAGAAATTTTTGAATACGTGAACGGATATTACGTGTGTCAGTTTGATGAAACTAAGTTTGAGTATACGCACGTTTGGAATCTGGTTAGAAATAAACCATTTTTCATGTAGACGACTCTTTTATTCTTAATGTTCTATGTAATGTTTGTTATTCGTTCATCTTTTATTTGTAATGTTTTCTGTAATGTTATTATGTTATTTAAAATGTTTGTAATACATGTTGGTGAATTATGTTTCAAAAAATATATGATACAAAAGTTGTTTATATTAAACAAAACTACTAAGAACAAGTATTTCATAATAATGTATACAAACTTCCAAACATCAAGTTATTTAGTATCCCAAATAATATTTGTCATCCTATTTCTCTAGAGAAATCCCGCATCTCTACATGGCTTATCAAGTTATTTAGTTTCCCAAATAATATTTGTCGTCCACCTTGCGTTCACCGGCCGTCTTTCCATGAGCAAGGCACTCCATATCGCAGTATGCTCTACATTTTAAGATAAAAATGTTACAGTTTTTTATATAAATTATCGTCTAAAATTGTAGTTAAAAATTATATTTAACGAATATTACCGAAGAAATTAACCACCCAGCGTCAGTAACTGCAAGCAACCTCGACCAAAACTCCACATCCAGTGTGAGCATATGCAGCCTATGCTTAGTGTTTAGGTTGGAAGAGATCGAATTCCATTCTTTCCAAAAACTCAATGTATTGGCAGCTTCAAGACTGTCGAGTAGGAGATGATTTGAAACATCATTACTCTCTTGATTCACAATGTCTTCATTTGGTTTTCCAGGACTCTTCACCATTTTTTTTTTCTTTTGTTTGGTGATTTTCTTCACTTTTGGTGTGGATTGCAACTAAAAAATTAACATGTTAAATAATTATCAATACGTTGATATTTTAAAAATATACCAAATTTAAAATATGAGTTTTGTACCACTGTGAACGGCATCCGTTGATACCATGGAACACTCCTCTTTCGTTGCGGCCTAACAATAGGAGTCATTTCTTTTGTGTGATGTTCACCCACGTTCGATGACTGTTCAACATGCGTAGGTGTAAGCCCAAAGTCCCCCTCCAAAACCACGAGTACCGATATCATCATAGTCAAAATGTGTATCATGGTATTATTTTTCTTCCTCCTCTTCATTTATCATCTCTTCCTCCTCTCGAAACTCTCTGTCTGGTTCAACATTTGTGCCCGATTCATCTTTTTTCTGTAATACACGGTCTACTTTAGAACTTAAGTCTGCCACAATGCCTAGTAGACGCTTCACTAATGCCTTTATGCTCATCTTCTTCTTCTTTACCAGTCTTGATGTGTCGTTTGACATATCACTTGTTTCAAGATGTTGTGAGGAAGAATCATTTGTGGCAGATTCAGTCGAAGATGTTTCTATTTCGGAGCTGTACATCTTTCTTCGAGCAAGTGAGGAAACATGAGGTGGACTATTTCGAACAGGAATATGTTGTTGTGGGGGAGACTCTACAGGGTTAAGAGTCCAATTGACATAATGAACATAAAACGACAACATCAACTCCTCCGGATTTGCCACGACATTAATAGGTTGGTTGTTAGGCTGAAAAATTCAGATTGTTAGTTTAACATGAAAATACATTGAAATTTGTAAATATAAATGATTGTTAATATAAAAACAATACCACAGACACGTTCATTATTCAACAACATTGATCCCAATTTAACGGTGTTTTACTTCTCCATGCCCTCATCCTTGGCAATTCTGTCGGCATGTGTATATAAAACTTGGTTGCCTCTGGGAACGTCTCCAAAATATATATCTATGAAAAAAAAACTCATGATACAAATTTATTATATAATACCAAACGAAGTTCAAAATTTTATAGTATGAAAAACTAAACAGTGATAACTATTAAAATGCATTAGAAAGTAACCTTAAATGGAAGCATAAAACCAGGAACGGTATACTTGTGTCCTTTCTTCGATTCGGGATTGGCTTGCTTGAATTCTCTAAACTCTTCTATTTTCTCAAACATTCCACGCATCATACGTGAAGCATATTTCCAGAAATACGTACCCCATGCAAACCTGCAATTTTCAATTTATTTATTATAATTAGTGCATTGGATACTACTGTGGGAATGTCTGTTTTAAATGTAATACTTGTTCCAATCATCTATATTATCAGCAAGCTTGTATACCGCTGCAGGAATGCCCGTTTTAATGTCCCGTCCATGTAGACCCTTCAACATAAAAACAAGCTGGATAAGCATCATAGCATCTTCATCTTGTAGTGCCAAACAATTCGAGGACATAATCAACTCTTCTAAATCTTTCAGCCGCAAACGTGCATCAAGAATTATCTGGGAACAACCGAGCACGGAGCTTTGAACTTGACTGGCTCTTTTCGTCATGGAGTAAATCCACATAAGGACCAACTTTTAATCCACAAATCAGAATATATTCAGTTTCACCAAAATCCAACTGCATCCCCTCTATATCAAACAGAAACCTCCCCATTTCAAATATTTGTTGACACGTTACTTCGTGCAACATCATCGTATGCACAAGTAAGGGATCACCATGTGGGATATGCATTCCTAAGAATATTCCAAAGGGGGAAGCTTCGAATTATACTATTTGTGATTGTGTTTGGCATAGAGAATACTTTTTAATGATAGTCCCCACCACGCCTTTCAAAGTTAATTCTGCCTTTTGTTTGAGATCTTCGTTCTACACAACAAATATATATATATATATATATATATATATATATATATATATATATATATATATATATATATATATATATATTTCATTTAAAACATTACTAATTGAAAATAAAAATATATATATATTAAACCATTATGAAATAAATAGCAACATACTTAAAAGCAGAAAAATAAAAATTGTGCAAATACCATCACTCCGCGGAGGCTAAGGGTCATTCCCCGGAGGCCTCTTTGCGGAGTGACCTCTAGCCCACGTGGAGGCCTGCATTGTTGGATTAAAACATTCCACAAAGGAAACACATCACTCTGCGGAGCACCCTTTGCGGACTGAAGGCCCCCTCCATGGAATGGATCATCCAAAAAATGTGTCTGTGATTTGTAAACCTAAACCTAAAAATCCTAAATCTGTATACATATTCAATGTAATAAAATGGGTTTTCCTCTAATTTGAATCATATTCGACATTTTTGACATTAATAATTAGATAAGAATGTGAGAAATACCCGGGAAACGTATCCATCGGCCATAACATCGGGGAATTCGGGGTCCATTGGTGACGGAAAGAGCTTTGCGACTCGATTTCGCCGGATTTGAAGCCGTTTCAAGTTGATGTCGTCACCGGAGTTGAAGTCGTCGACGGAGTTGACATCGTCGCCGGATTTTAAGTCTTCGATCAAAGCCTATGTGACCCGATGCGGAGTGACGAGGAGGAACGGGGACCAGTGGGGACCAAAAGAGGACCCCTTTGTTTTTCTCAAAAAAATATGGTTGAAATTACAAAATTACCCCCTCGACGCGGAGATTTCATGGTTCCGCAGAGGTCTGTGGAGGGTCCTCCACGGAATGTATGTCTATTTCTGGAAAAAAAACTTTTTTTATGACTAAATTTAGAAATTGACCCCCATTTTTTTTTGTCTATTTGCGGTATTTTCCCTAGAAAATATCCAACACACCACTCTATAGAAGAGGCGAGAAAGGAATAAAAAGCAATTAACAAAATTTGATTGTTACTTCTTCTTAATCGACGTGGAGCTCCCTTGAAGACTCCACATAACACCATACAATGTGCTAAAGCTAGCTCGAAAATCCTAGTTAGGGAAGTTCTATTGTCAAAAGACATTAAATACATAATATTTTGAATAGATCAAAAATATATGTAATTATAAAAAATATTTTAAAAAGCTTTTACACTGAAGATGAGACATAAGAATATGCTTTTTTTAATCAATAAAAGTTTTATTTAATAGTAGTAATAACTACAGAGTAAACTATTATTGTAGACTGTGTATGGCATTAAGAATTTAAGAGGTTATAAATGTTTTATCTATAATACTAGCAACATTCTTTGTTTTTTTTGAACCGGAAAATAGATAGAGTGTAACCCGACCCGATAGATCAGGAATGTTTGGCGGGGACCAAGAGGGGCACCACACACCACCAAAGGGAACGAAGAATCGAACTCACGCTAATCGAAGGAAAATTACCCAAATATGATCAACCAAGAATCGAACTCTTGACCTCACCCACTCATGCCTAAAACCCAGGATGCATCGCAACCAGCTAGGCCTTCATTCATACGTGTCAGGCTATACAACACACCAGTAACATGAATACAAAGTTGCACCATAACTACATGCACACGATCCTAGAAATATTAGATTTGAAAATTCGGTACTTCATGCATAAAAATTGTATCAAAGTGTAAAAATATGTAAAATTCACAAACTTACAACGTCAACAACTCACTTTTTTTAATAAACTAGTTGGTTTACATAGAACTTACAAAATAAGCCTCACTACAGTAGTCATAATATACTCTTGACTAACCTAATCATACAGATTAATAGGATTACAATACAAGTTTACAAAGAATATGAAAATCCTAATACTTTTGAGAGAATGAGAGAGAATTTGAAAGTTATGTGTGTGTGTGAGCGAGAGAGAGAGAGAGAGAGAGAGAGAGAGAAATAGAGATGATTTGAATAACCCCATCTCTCATCCTTCCTTTAATATACATCCGATTCAAACCTCAACCCATGGATCAAAAGATTCTAATGTTTATTACATGCAACTTTACCAATTGTAAGCTGCAACCCATTACATTCAATGTAACATCCCGATATTCATGTACTTCTAAATTCAACCCTATAATCTTATTATATCATGTTTTGGTCCCTAAGTAGAAGGAGGTATCCATTGGAAGCCCTAGTGGCAAAATTGTAATTTGGGAAGAATGGGAGTACGCCATGCGTACATGCGTACGCATGCTTAGCGTACTAGGGCACGCCCTAGTACGTTGGGCGTACATCAGCGTACGCGAGGCGTACTCTCCAAGTTTGGAAACCCTAAATTTTAGGTTTGAGCCCCTATATAACCATCCTTAAAACCCAATTACCCCCACCTCTCCAACATCCACTCCCCTCGTGTTGTTTTTGCAAACCCTAATCCCTTGAGTGTGTGTTTTTGAGCTTAATTGTGTGTTCTTTGTGTGTTGAAGGAAGAAAGAAGATTCATTGAGGAGCCTTGAGTAGAACCAAGCTTGTAGATATGGGATTTTTGCCTCCTTGGGAAACTTCAGAAGGTATAAAGCTATGATCTTGACTTGTATTTCCTTGAGATCTTTCCATGTGAAGTTTTATGAGTTTTAGTCCTTTTTCCTTGGACTGAATGAGCATGAGCTACTCTAAGACCATATGACATGTGCTTTCAGAAGATTTGAGGTGCATTAAGTCGTTAAAATATTATCTTGACTCATATGACATGTGCTTTCAGAAGTTTTGGCTTTTGGACTTATTATGGCATGCATAACCATATAGTTGGAAACTTTATGGTTTGGAACACCTTTTAAGGCTTGGATCTGGATTTTGGATGTTAGACTTGTTGAATTAAGCACTTAATGGGAGTTTTTGCATGACTACTGCGTACGTGGTCAACTGCCCATTTTTGGTCAAGGGCTGAGTATGCGGGGCGTAGGGGATGAGTACATTGGGCGTACTCAGTTGTGTTGACTTTTCGTTGACCGCTGACTTTCTATTGACTTTTGACCTAGCTTGACCTTAGGGGCATTTGGGTATTTTTATTATGAAGCCTAAGGTTCGGGTGTCTCCATGTGTATAGATGGTCTGTAGAGTTGACCCGTGGAGAAATATTCTTTTCTACTATCATTTGGATTTGCGAGGTGAGTGTTCCTCACTGTACTTGTGGGTCGAAGACACCAAGGCCGACCCCTTTGGATTGCTATACTGGTTTATCGCATGAGTGTATGATGTAGCGATCTGTATCCTGGTATATAGGATGATGTTATGCTTAGTGATATGTTAAGATCTGTATGACTATCAGTATATGCTAGCAAGGGTTTGATATAGTATATGTTGATATGTAATGGTATGTTAGGTTGAGGTGGTCCTGTTGTGTGTTGAAGGCCGAGAGACCAAGGGCATCCCAGATAGACTGCAGGATGAGGGTCGTACTAGTCATGAAGAAGGCCCGGATGACATTCGAGATAGGCTGAAGGCCGGTCAGGCGTACCAATCATGCTGAAGGTCCTGTGAACGTACCAGATACACTGTAGGCCGGTGGGGCTTTCTAGTCAGACTGAAGGCTTTATGCATGTTGTATGTCTGTTGTTGTTGTCATTATTATGTGTTTTTGGGGGAACTCACTAAGCGTTGGATTACAGTTTTGGGTTATGTTTCAGGTACTTCATAGGATCACGGGAAGGTGAAGGTATGACCGTATACATCCTCATGTTTTGGACTTACGGTTTTGGGAAACTCTGATATTTTGAAACTATGTTGTAAACAATTTGTGATTTTAGGTTGGTTTCTAAAAGTTTAATTTTGTCTTAATTTTATGGATGTTACAAGTTGGTATCAGAGCCTTGGTTTTAGTGAATTAGAGGAACACTCGTATGAATCCAGTCTCAAACTAAGGAAAGATTTTTAAAATGATTTTCAAATTATTTTTTCAATTAACCAAGAGGATGTGATGTGTACGATCAGTAGGAGCACGTAAGTAGACCCCAAATTACCATATTGTTGTTTTATATTGTGATATATTAGAACAACATGCCAGTGATATGCTAGGGATCTTCAGGAATTACATGATAGAATTTCCTGATTACATGATGCATGATAGCCTAGGATCCTTCTTTATATGAAACTGATATCATTACTATAGTTGCTTCGTGTATGCATCATAGTTATACATAACTAAGATTATATAGCCTTATTTCATGTTCTTGTTTGATGAAGGGATTAGGATAGGATCAGATATTCAACTATCAATAGGGTCCAACATTATGTATGATTAACATACATGAGCGGTGCGGGGTTGGTGAAAGTTTCATGGATGAGATGTGTGGGGTTAGCCAGCCAGTCTCGTGATGTTAAGCCTTCCTCTTGGTTGTGAGGACTGAGTGTATGAGTATGATAGTATGTATTTTTAGGGTTGTTGTGATGATCCTCTGAGACAAATACGGGTAGGCGTGGAAGGTAGTATGGGTCCGTACTACTGAAAGCACTAGACCCGTATGCGTAGCAAGGAAGTCACAACCCCTAAGGATTTGTTGGAACTTGGATCCCCTCTTATGATATATGTGTTATCTGATATATCCCTGGTTTATCTTTAGTATGGTGGTGACGTGACATTTTGAGACAAGATCCGATTCAGGATCAGGAGCTGGCAGCCAGGGTGGG